CACAGTTTTTTCCAGATCAGCCTGCGTTTCCTTCCCTGCAGATAAACTATCAATGAGTGCCCAAGGTGTTTCAGTTTACTAAAAGTCAGGAGCAGATAAGGCTGAAATTACAGTGGCCCTATCTCCAGGGGAGGCCAGCGAAAGGAGAAGATATACAATAAAGCGTGCAGCCACAATCACCACACACTGCTGGCCATAGGGGGTGAAAGCCATGATACATTTGTTTCCCAGTTGTATTTCCTTAGTGGCATAGCTGAGCTATCTAATGTGGTATCTGCTTTGACCTGATGGAGGTGGCAGCTGCCGGGTCAATAAATAATCATGCAGTTATGAAGACAGCTTGGACATGCAGAATATGATTTGAACATTATACTTTATTGTTGTGTTGCATGGTTCTTGCTTTCTAAATATGTACAGTATATAGTGTAAGTGTTTTCCGAAGTATTGAATTAATCTCAAAATATGCAATCTGAAATGTGTCTACATGCTGTCACCCCTCAGTCTTAACTGGTGAAGCCACTGGGAGCTGTTGTGGTTCTGCATGGGATATCAGGTATGTGTGAGAGAGTCAGAGCAGGGAAAAGAAACCCATCCTTCTGAGGGTGTCAGGGCCTTGATAAGTCCTGTTTAAACCCTACCCTTTGCAAAATGCCATGTGTCAACAGTTGCCTGTGGCCAAAGCGCTCTGATCTGGCTCGGTAAACACCTGGGGCAGCCCATTCATCCCTATGAGACCTTGGCTGACAATGGGCATGGGTATAGTTCTGCTACCAGAGTGGCCAGATATTTTGAAGAATTAACAAAAAGCTGCTTTTTCAACAAGGAACCAACAGTGAAAGCAGCCGGAAGAAAAGTTGAGATGGTTCGCCGAGAGGATTTTCTCAGTTCTCCCACTTGCAGTCTTCTGCCTTGTCTAGGGCAGTTGGCACTAGCTGTGGAAAGTCTCAGACAGGTGTTATGTCGGTTGTCAGTGGCTGAAGCCACCTCTGCCTCCTCTACCTCTGTTGCACTATTCGTCACTCAATTAAGTCTTAGAATTCTTCATGGGTCTCATGGCAGATCATTTAAATCCAGCAAAGGTTTTAATGCACTTCTTGCCATTACACTATGTCTAATGGAGCTCAGCGTAGAAGGTCTCCATACAGCATAATGAATGCTTAAGCATGGTTCCCATGATGACGATTGAAGATTTTAAATATTATATTTGGTTGAAATTCTATAAATTCTTTGCACAGTGCACCTAATAAAAATACTTCCTTTTATAAAAAACCCATATGCCATTTTCCTCTTTTGATTCAATTGTTTTGACAAACACACTTCAAGGGCAACAATGCAAAGACTCATATACTTACTGTACTAACACACCCAAGCACATATGACCTAAAGGTTTTTAAAAAAGAGGGGCGGACTGTTCAAACATTTGCAGTGGAATCTGAGAGCAAGGAGAGGTGGAGGACATGATTTGGCAGTTTACCCCCAGTGTTTGCCTCAAAATTTTGACGCCATGGCTCGAAGTCAAGCTGAGAAGTTTCCCAAGGCCTGCTCGGCCTGCAGACGGGTGTTCCATGTAAGCTGTGAGCCTGGCCCCTGAGGATCTGCGTCCCCCCTCTGATCGACTGTAAGTCAGTCTGCAGGGCAATGCGGGGGCGTGAACATGCCCAACCACACCTCTGATGCCTCTGTGTTTGCCATCACTGGGTTTCCTTCTGCACATGTTGAGATCAGTCACCTCACAAGCTCAGAAGTCAGTAGCTCAGTCTGTAAGGACTGTTCGAGTCCAGCTCGAACCAGAGTTGTGGTAGGTGGAGAGGTACCCTGGGCACTGCTGAAGGTGGCCTTGAGCAAGCCCCTGAACCCCCAACCGCTTGTGGCGCCGCACTGAGTGGCAGCCCCGTCATTTTGACATCTCTCCATGTGTTGTTGCAAGTGTGTGTATTTCAGACCTCTGTGTATAACAATAATAACACCAGAGTGAGAACATTGAATTTCCCCTTGTGGGAGTAATAAAGTCTAATGTCTTCTTCTTCTAAAGGCAGCAGCTCTCATCACACATCCCACAACAAACCTTGTCCAGTTAAAAACTAAAATGACAACAAATATTCACCTTCTTATGAGATGTATGTTTTCTTGTACTAACAAAGGGTGCATTTAATGCAAGCTTTGCATAAGAGTATAATTTTGACCCTTTTGAATGTCAATATTGTTGCATGACATGAGCTACAACCCTGAGAGGAATCTCAGATGTTACACTTTATTACAGGGGGGGTACTTTGGGGGTTATTTTGAATTGTTATAAAGCAACATAATCATACCTATTAACTAGTGATGAAACAAAAACCCTTTAGTTTTTTTCTAATCCCCTCTATTTGTCACCAACATGAACCTTGGATAAATACCATAATCTAAATTGTGTGTAATCTGGGGGAGCTGACATGGCAGTCTGCCATAGAAATAGCAGGTACTGTACATCTGACAGGCATATTGGGCTGTTTTTAATGAAAATGTCAGGATCAAGACAGACTGAAAGGCTTTAAGAGGAAGCCTTGAACCACTGCCCTCTTTATAAAGAACGATGACATTCATTTCAAATATTTATTTTCCGCAATGAAAGGCACTCCTTTTCTGGGACAATCACTGAACTAAAAATATTTTCTTAAATTTTATCTATGCAAGTTTTTATTATGTGTCATTTTGGAATATTTGTTTTTTGAATACCTTTAGACACAATCTTCATCTAAGTTGTGTTACAGTTTTAAAATAGTAAACTGTAGAGTTTGCTGTAGCTTTTTATTACCTTGTTTTGATATAGATTTAATTACTGAATGGATTTTCCTGATTTCACCTGATTAGCAGCTTACTTTATGAAAAGGAAAAGTGTGACCAATATTTTCGATTTAAGCAACATTTAATGTGTCTTGATATATTTAATGATCACAGATTTACGTTACCGAAATCACTGTAGTGTTCAATTACTAAATCATAAAGTTGGGACAAAAATAGCAAACTTTCAATCTCTTCATGATGCCATTGGGGACTCGTAATTTATAGTCGGATTTGGGAACTAAAATTTAACACATGGATTACAGTGACTGAACTCACTCAACAAAGTGTCCTTTGTCCACAGAAAACAAGTGCTGGAGCAGATCCAGTAAATTTTAATGTTGTGACACGTTTTGTGCTTCAGTTTTTCCACAGACTATATATATATATATAATGGTTTCGCTTGAATGAAGAAAATGTAACATGTATTAGCAATAATATAATATTTTGTATGTACATACATTTGTTATGTTATAACATAATTATCATCAGCATAATAATAATAATAATAATAATAATAATAATAATAATAATAATAATAATAATAATAATAATATAGTATAGTTATAGCAGTAGTAGTAGTAGTAGCAGGAGCAGAAGGAGTAGCAGTAGTAGTAAAGATATATTATCTATATCTATCTATATTATATTAATCACAAGCGTTTTTAAAATTGCATCCTGTATACCATGTTGCAAATTTGAAAACACCAATCATTACATTATTATTATTATTATTATTATTATTATTTTTACCTTCCCTTGTTGCTTCTGTTCGAAAAGAACATCCTTTCTGAGAATCTTTAGTTTTGATGTCTGGCCTGTCACCTTGTTTGGAACAATAAAGGCCTAATCATAAATGTAGAGCGAACTTACATTTTTAAATATGTTCTTGTATTACACCTCTCTCTTACTTTCTTTTAATAATTACTGCCCCGGACAGTTGAAAGGCTTCCTCTCAAGTTTCTTGACTGCTGTCTCCCCCTATTGGCCCATGTAGACACTGAGCAGAGCTGAGAGACGACCGAGGACTGCTGCTCCGTAACAGCTTCACAGTCACACTGCCTCAACTGTCTCTGTGCAACAAACATTTCAGACAACTGTCCGCATTTATTCAGTTACAAATAAACAGTTTATTCTTTCGAAATCGGCCATGAAAGATAAGTTTAAAAACTTCAGTAGTGTGTTGGTGAGAACAGCTCTTTTTTTCTAAATCTACCAATGTGTATACCACAAACAGCTGACTATTGCGCTCAGAAAAAATAGAGATAGAGATACATTTAGTTAAGTTGGATATTTCAACATATAACACATTTATCAATTTGTCAATTTGCGAACAATTTGTACAAATATGAGCAAAAGAGCCTGTGAAAGAAAGTCTAACCAAGTATAATAAAATTATATTTATTTATAATTTTAACACTCCTGATGAAGATTTGTCCTATTGTAATGTTCATCATACAGACTTTGTGTCTGTGATCAAAGAAAAGTCATATTGTGTATTTTTTTTTATATATTTCCCTTAATATCGCTATAACATTAAAATCTTTCACATTATTGTATCATTGTGTATAATTAAGATGAATAAGTATTGTCCTACTTCTACTTTTTATCTCAGAAGGTGTGATATTTTACTTGTAAGTATTAACTTTTTAAACTTTAAGTTAGGTTTTGAATAAATATTACACTTAAGATTATATAGAGGGGGAAAAAACACCTTTTTCCTACTTGAGTTGGATTTTCACTGTTGTTGACTGCAAGAGTTCTGTAGAGCAGAGTCATATTACGTCTCCGCCTACAAAAGTTTCCCCCAATCATTTCCTTGCCGTCAAACATAAATCCAGGCATCGCCTCCTGTGTCTCTACACTCTTCAGCAATCCACCAAGAGTGGACCTCAGTCACATTTTCTCTTTAAAAGGCACAGTTTCAAAGTTCAGCGTTAGAAAGCGATCATTTTGCTATTTGTCTTCTTGTCTGTAAAATTGTGAAAAGTCGAAGGAGCGTCAAAAACTTGTTTTGGCTTTTTTTTTTTACTTTAAAGGATTCAAGTTTGCCAGACAAGCTGTGCGCCCTCACAGACTGTCACAGCAGTCTTTGGGCACAGCACTTGGATTTAGAAAGAAGGATTTTGTCCTTTTTTTTTTTTTTTACTGCGAGAAGCTGTTCTTTCTAACTTTTTCGCATGAATCTCCTCGACCCTTACCTGAAGATGACAGACGAACAGGAGAAGTGTCACTCTGACGCTCCCAGCCCCAGCATGTCTGAGGACTCCGCAGGCTCGCCGTGCCCGTCTGGGTCCGGTTCGGACACTGAGAACACCCGGCCGTCCGACAACCACCTTCTATTGGGCCCAGACTACAAGAAGGAGGGCGAAGAAGAAAAGTTCCCCGTGTGTATCAGAGATGCAGTGTCCCAGGTGTTGAAGGGCTACGACTGGACGCTGGTGCCCATGCCGGTGCGCGTCAACGGCTCAAGTAAAAGTAAACCCCACGTCAAAAGACCCATGAACGCGTTCATGGTCTGGGCTCAAGCTGCACGGAGGAAGCTGGCCGATCAATACCCGCATCTGCACAACGCGGAACTCAGCAAAACCCTGGGCAAACTTTGGAGGTAGGTTCGCTTTGCATTTTCTTTCACTTTTGCAGTGCGTCTTAACGTGCCGCTGTGCGCAGTGTACGATTTCATGCACCATTTCATGCTGTTTCAAGTAGAGCTTTAGCCTATATTCTGGGAATATGACTAATGCATTTTAAATTGCATTTTGGATTGCATGGAGTGCATGCACAGATGAGGTCGTATCCTAGACTAAAACTTTGAGCTGCATCTTGTTGATTCTTAAAGCTTAAACAATTAGGCCGAATGTAACGATTCAATAAATTGCACATAGATCATAAATAATTAACAAACGGTGTCTTGTGAATGCATTTTAATGTTAATGTATTTTCAGATTGCTCAACGAAGTAGAGAAGCGCCCGTTTGTGGAAGAAGCTGAGCGTTTGAGAGTGCAGCACAAGAAGGACCACCCCGACTACAAATACCAGCCAAGGCGGAGAAAATCTGTCAAGAACGGGCAAAACGATCCTGAGGACGGCGAGCAAACCCACATCTCACCAAATGCGATCTTCAAGGCGCTGCAGCAGGCCGATTCTCCAGCGTCTAGTTTGGGGGAGGTGCATTCTCCAGGAGAGCACTCAGGTAAGAAAAGTAAACATATTCAAATAAAGAATGAATGAAAAAAATTTTTTTTCAGAAGTGACTAATTTTGGGACTGTTTGAAAGTCTGTAGAAGCCGTTATGGCCTTGAACAGACACCTGTTAATAATTAGCAATTAATGATTGATGGGTTTTACAAGCCACCATGCAAATACACCTGTCAGCATCATGCCAATAAACTCCTCCTGAAAGCATTAGTAGTTATACTTGTATTTCACTTCATAAGAAGTCCTTTAGATGCATCATTTTGTAAATTAGATTTTTAATTGTGAGGCTAACTCTGCCTTTCCTCTAACCAGGTCAGTCCCAGGGCCCACCAACACCCCCAACCACCCCCAAGACAGACCTTCCTTCCAGCAAAGCTGACCTGAAGCGTGAGGGGCGTCCAATTCAGGAGGGCACCAGTCGCCAGCTCAACATCGACTTTGGAGCCGTGGACATTGGCGAGCTGAGCAGCGAAGTCATCTCCAACATGGGGAGCTTTGATGTTGATGAGTTTGATCAGTACCTGCCGCCTCACAGCCATGCTGGGCTGACTGGAGCAGCCCATGCTGGCTACCCCAGCAGCTACGGCATCAGCAGTTCCTCAGTCAGCCAGGCAGCCAATGTTGGGGCCCACGCCTGGATGTCCAAGCAGCAGCAACAGCAGCAACACTCCCTGACCACCCTGGGTGGAGGAGGAGAACAAGGCCAGCAGGGTCAACAGAGACCCACCCAGATCAAGACAGAGCAGCTGAGTCCCAGCCACTACAGTGAGCAGCAGGGCTCCCCACAGCACGTAACCTATGGGTCCTTCAACCTGCAGCACTACAGCACCTCCTCTTACCCCTCCATCACAAGAGCACAGTATGACTATTCAGACCACCAAGGTGGTGTCAACTCCTACTACAGCCATGCGTCTGGTCAAGGCTCCGGCCTGTACTCCACCTTCAGCTACATGAGCCCCAGCCAGAGGCCGATGTACACCCCGATTGCCGACACCACCGGGGTGCCCTCTGTGCCCCAGACCCACAGTCCGCAGCACTGGGAGCAGCAGCCCATTTACACACAGCTCTCCAGGCCATGAGGAGTCGGCCTCAGCACTGACTAACACCCACCCCATGCATTGACTTTTTTCTGCCCGGTGGCCTTTGTGCTGCCATGCCACACACCTGTCATTGCCAACAGAAAAACATGACAAGGACTTTTTTTTTTATAGTACTGAAAGTATATCTTTGGATTGGCTCACAACAGTGCCTTTTGTATTGGTTGGAATTTTGATTATATTTTTTTAGATATAAAGTTTAAAAGAAGTTTAATCCTCTGTGAGGACATACTGGTTATAAATATTTTAGTATGTACTGTGTATGTGTTTCTTGTCAACATCATCTTAATCAGTGTCATCAGCATCCTCATCATCATGACTAGAAGGTTTAACACATCTAAAGGATTGCCAGGTAAAAACACCCTCAGTGGCCTTGCTTCTCACTAATGTATTGTTTTGTACAGAAGTAAGAAACGTCTGTTTACTGACACTGCCGTCTTATAATAGCCTACATTCTGCTTTGAATTTTTGTACTGTAAATATTTTATAGCAATGCAGGTTCAAAATAGATCTGAATTTATGGCCATGATATGACCGTGTCATCAGTGAAATATTCTACTTCTTGTTCTTTGCTTTCGCTCAAATGATTGTGTTGAAAACGCTATAGCAGGTGCCATGTAATTATCCTAGGGGCCTTACTGTGTTGGTAGATGTGACTGAGTAATGCTTGCTTTTATCTGGGTACTGCCTTGATACCATTGGTGCCTCTGGAGCCACAGTAGGGAGACTCCTTCCACTTGCGTTGCAGTGTTGAAACCACAGCATAGTTCTGACTTCTTGTGTGAGGAAATACAGGAAGTTACCTTTGACCTGACTCTCCTCGACAGCCATCAGGCCTGAGTCTGGCATGCTTCTCTCATTCTTACAGCCCCATCCTTTCTCCTAACCTTTTTCTTAATTTATTCTTTAGCATTAATTTTATTTGAAAATAACTATTTGCAGTTATCTTTTTAATTCAGCAGCAGCTAAATGAGATGAAATGTTTTCAGTGGAATGGTTTGCTGTCATATGTGGTACAAATTTGTTTATTTATCATTTGTAAATGTTACCGTATAAAAGTTCCTTTTATTCTTGATCTAGTTATGTACAGATTACTTATAATTACACCATGAGTCTTTCTCTTAAAAAAAAAAAAAAAGAAAAACTGGAAGTTTTCTCTTTTTTCATTCTAACAAATGAATTAATGGATATGGAAGCTGCCGCTGTTTTTGTAAAGAATTTGCTGGAATCAACAGGATACTTTTTAATGTTGTGTTCCTCATTTTTATATTCTATCACTAGTTCTCATTTCGTCATCTTCTTAATGCAGTTTCCGTAGGTAAACATGGCATTGTCTTAAAAGCTTATCTTTTGTATTAAATTGTTTGCAATAAAAACAAAACACTGAGAAATATGTGATTGTCTTGTACCTTTAATTATGAGCATGTTTCATACAGTGTTGTTCACAGCTGTGGTGACAGTATTTGTGAGACTAAGATTGATGAGGTTTATTTTTAATAGTAATGACAGGGCAACCTCTAACGGCTGAAGACAAGCTGAATTAAGAATTTGTTTACTGAGTCCGAATTACTTTGGAACAGTGAACTCATATGCTCAAAAAAACAAGGAAATCAAAAAGATTGTTTTAACGTGACATAATTCATTTAAGTTCTGCATTAATCAGAGCCAGCTTGACAGCTACCCACAACAGATGTTTGGAAAAGTCATTGTTAGGCCAATGTGAAGTTAAAAAACTAACCTTTGTATTCAAGTTGTGGTACTGGGAACAGTGGTTTTGCTTCTGGCTTCTCAGACCATGAGGTCACAGGTCCATTATTATCACGGCCTATTGAGAAGACGTATGTCCACACCCCTCCTCCTGCCTGTATACACGACAGCTTAAAGAAACAAACTAGACATTGAATATTGTTTATTCATTACTGGCCAAGTAATATAGGAATAGAGCTGACCTTAATAAATCAGTAACAGTGTAAACACAATCAGGTACCATAGCTTTGTGTTGAAATTTGAGGCACATTCACAGATGACGTCTCTTTCCTCACATCAACTGGACTGGAGCTTTCTCTGCCACCCACTGCTGCGCCTCATCTCGCTGTGATGACTGGACAGTTTCTTTTAGCTTGACTCCTTTACTACTCATTACAAATTATACTAGGCTACACTAAACCTGTGGCCCAATACATCTGTAATGCATAACAATATTGAAATATAACAATAATATTGTGGCCAGAGTGGCTAAGATCTCCCTTCTAAGCAAAACTCTGAATTTTGAACTTTCACAAAAAAAGATAAATCACAACGAAATACTGTTTTGTTGAGCTAAATTTGATTACTTACAATTTCATCCCCTCATTTTAAAATTTTAGTTTGCCCTGGCACCAGCCTAGATGACTTCTTCTAAAGATTTCTTGATTGCAGACTTTGGAGCAGACTTAAATTTTTTCATTGCATAATTTCACCAATGTATATAGAGAGGAAAAAGGAAATACTTTTTCCTTGAAAAGTTGTTTATCATACTAATGTATATATTGGCTGATGTTAACTGGCTAGTTAGCATAGAACGTTTGCAACTAAGAGTGCAACTTTCCATTTTGAAATAACTGTTTAACATTAGGGTTTGTGTAGGTTGACGTTTAAAACACTTTCACTATATATTTAGGGTTATAAAAGTAATGGTGTTTAACATTGCTTTTTTCTGTCATCATGTCAATAAAATAATAAAACCCTAAGGTGCCAACTTGATGTTCACTCCCATGCTCTGGGGTTTGATGAAAATGGAAAACACCAACTAAGCTGTGGGAATGTGGGTAAAGCTGAAAGGAAACATTACACTATTTCAACACATACTAATTCATGGAATTCACAGACTAATGTGTCAGTTAGAATATACAGTATCTACAGTTAAAATTGTGATTTAAAGTCGTTATCCATGATGTAACTTTATTTTTACATATTCACCATCACCAATGTGGTCCAGTTAGAACAATAAAATGGTCTTGAAATTTTTTTCAGTGTATGTTGCCCGCATTGTGAAATCTGAAAGTGTTGATTATGCTCATCTATGTCTTTTCAGCCATGTTTGTTATCTCTGCTGTGGCTTCTACTTCTGTAACTTCGCTTCAAACTGTTGCCATATCACGTGTTGCTACTTTCAGGAACTTGCTCTGCTGATTAAAACAGTATTGCGTTGTATAAACTGGCAAAAAACAACAAAGCATATCAAATAGGAATGACTTAAGGCTTGTTGTGTCGCTACTGCAGGCTTAACTCTGCTGACATCTTCCCCTCTAACAATGAGAAGCAGGCAGAAAGTGTGAAGCCCTGAGCCCACCTCCCACAGAGAGCCCCCGAGGCACATCCATCACTGGAGCTTCAGTGGCTCAGACCTGAAGTGAGGTAACAGGGCCTTAGGGCCTAACAGGGAAAATGGAGGCCAGTTAGTGATGGTTCGGGGTAGAGCATGGGGATCCCAAGGAAAGGACAAGACAACCTTACTAATCCACCTTTCCGTCCTCCAAACCAAGGAAAATCAATTTGAAGGGAAACTTTGGCATTACAGTTGTTAGGGGGAGTTCTTAATGTAAAATAAATATTGCCTGACTCAAACCATTGGCAATAGTAATCACAATGTCCTGATGCTGGCTGAGCTGGCTCCAACAAGCATATAGTAACACAGTGCTCAGGACATGATTGGCTCCTGATGGAAGACTTTGCCTGAAAGTTAAACCGAAGCAAACATTTCTGTTGAGCAAACAAGAAAAAAGTTGACTTTGATAAACACATGTTCGTGTTCTTCTAGTTTCAGAGAATGAACAGAACATTTCCGCTGAATTGTTAGATTCTCAGGTTGTTGGCAGCGTGTGTGCATGGGAAAATGTGAAAAGTTTATGTTTGCAAGTCCAACTTCACAAAACAGAATTATGATTGAAATCAGGTGCTCATATTATCACTTTTGAGAAATGATTACTCTTCCAAAATTATAGTTTATGAATGATAAGAAATAATTTAGCCAATTTAGCCAATGGCCTCTTCTTTGAAAGTCATACAGTATATTAGTGTACAGTTCTTCTGCTTTCCTTGTTGAAAATGTGTGTGTTTTTGTAACAGGAACAAAAGAGAGTATGTGAGTCAAATAAGACTTTTTTTTGCATGTGTTAAATACAGTTAGAGTAGCTGGACTAATGGACCAACTTTGCTACTCTGCTCTCAATAAAAAACATGCGGCAACAATGGCCACTTTCAGTGTATTTCATCAGAATAGCGTCATGTGGTGTCACAAAGTAGCAGGAAATGACCTCATTATTGAGGCTTTCCCTGTGTGAGATCATGGTCATTTATTCGTTGGGCTTGACACAGACAGGCAGCCCAAGCATAATGATACATTTGAGAAATGATAATGACTACAACAACTGCTAGAAATTTTATTTTGAAATTAAATAGAACATTTTCAAAGTAAGTGGGCAACATCAGATACTCAGGCTCCAGGAAATACACACTATCAGTCATTACTGTAAATCTGAATTTAAACAAAAAATCTGAGCAAGGCAAATACAAAGAATCTTTTCTAAACCATGTGCCCCAGCCTCCCGACCTCAGCTCACAAAGTCTTGGCAGTGGCAGAGTGATCCAGCCAGTGAGTGGACTTGGGCTGTGATGGGACTGCTCCCTCCCACCAAACAGCAGGAGTGCCCTGATGAATGTTTCTGAGAAGGATCGGAAACAAGACCAATTTTTCTTTCTTTTTTTTTCAGACAGGCCTTTCCATGGGCAATTTTCCCAGGACGACCCCATTATTATTCCACAGAGACGTCTACCCCCTCCGAACCCTATGGGTGGTCTTTTTGAAGGCAAAAGGAAGAGGAAAAGAAAAGGAAAAGGGAAAAAATCTGGTGATACACCCATGGAGACTGGACAACAATAAAATACACAACAAAGTAAGATGACACAAAACAAGATGAAGAGTCAAACAGCACTCCAACATATTGCAAGCTTTCTCTGTACAAACCGATGTACTGTCTGGTGTGTATATGTGATGCCATTTGCCTGTTATGGTATTGTAAGGAAAATTGTTTCTGAAATGATTTAGTCAAGGCAAAACTAAACCAAAATCATATACAGTTTGTATTTCAAATACAATGTCACATATCTTCTGACCAGTTTGTTGTGTGTGCTACGTGTATTTGTGTCACTGGTGACCATTACTCCATTTAGATTACCTGCTGGGTCAGTTTGAATTGACACCCAGACTGAGTTGCTTTTAAACTGTCCAGTCCATAAAATCCATTCTTAAACCAATAAGAAACATTCAGTGGAGGAAACCCCTACTAAATCACTGAGAAAGACAAGCTGACCACAAGGCCGTTTCCATGGGAGCTACACCCTCAGCCGAAAAACTACTATGTGCAAGTTGGGAGCAAACCGAGGGCCCATTTCCTACACCATATTGATTATTGCACACATTACAACAGAAGAGCTACATGAACAACAGTCATGATGAGTCACTCTTGGGAAATTAAACTTATTTAAGTTTACAATCTCCTCTCATCGCCGTTTGATTTTGCTCCCTGTTGGAGTAGACTTAGGAAGTGAGACTTTGCCCCACAGCCATCCATCTTGCGCTGGCCCCATGAGGACAGCAGCCTGTGCCAAGAGGCTGAGCTAGGCCAGCCTGTTGGAACCCTTGGTGAGCTCCCTGCCTTTGTCTGGATGTGGAAGAAACCTGGCACCGGCCCGAGGTCAGCGTCACAAAATTATATTACCATAATCCCATTAAGTGTGTCTGAGGCCTCATGAGCTCCAACTCAGTCTGGGAGGAAGGTAGGTGAGGGCTGGCAGCGGGTGGGTTTGAGGCTGAAAAACACAATCAGTGGACAATGGTAGCTTACCTGCATTTGATATGTGTATTCTTTAGCCTATGTCATTTCAAGCAGTGTTTTATCACAGTATCTGGTAAACTATTTTTTAACTGTATGTGTAAAAAGAACAAGACACCTCTTCAGAATTGAAGCCAGGAACCTAAACAAAATGATGGTGGATTTGTCTATAAGCTTTATATAATCAAGGTTTCTCATACTTATCTTTATTATCCCTGGTCCTTCAGAAAAGGATTCTCTCCAATAATAAGGAGATCTTCCATCCATCTTTACATTTGTTTCCAATTAAGACACAGAGAAAAGTTTTGGCTTTCCGGCCAACAGTGCATACAGTAGTTTGTCTTTGGTAATTCTCTCGTCTGTACCTGGAAGATCTCCACAGAACATATTGCTTCACAGTGCAACGTGCCCATTAGGAACAGGTTGTTTGAAAGGATGCAAATGGACATGTCAGCAAAACTGATACTATTCTCAGAGAGCATGAGAGCTGAATATAAGCCATGTTCTCAGTTGATCCAGA